TTGCATAGATTTTAAAAATCAAGTTGGGAAGTATCGACATCTTAAAAATATTGGTTCTTTCAATTCATGAATGTGGTTCTCCCTTCATATATTTTGAACATATTTGAGTTTTTTTCTCTAGATTTTTTTAGTTTCATATATAAATTCTATTAATATTATGTTAGATTTATACCAAAATATTTTTCTCTTTTTATTTACTTTTTTATTGTATTTATGCATTTATTTATTGAGACAGAGTCTCACTCTATTGCCCAGGCTGGAGTACAGTGGCACGATCTCAGCTACTGCAACTGCCACCTCCCGCGTTCAAGCGATTCTCCTGTGTTCAAGCAATCCCAAGTAGCCGAGATTATAGCACACATCACCACGCTTGACTAATTTTTTGTATTTTTACTAGAGATGGGTTTCACCCTTTTGGCCAGGCTGGTCTCAAACTCCTGACCTCAAGTGATCCACCCGCCTTGACCTCCCAAAGTGCTGGGATTACAGGCATGAGTCACTGCGCCGGGCCACAAAATATTTCCCTTTTAGTATGTGTTATTGTAAATGGCATTATGCTTTTAATTTTAAATTCCAATTTCTTATTGCTGATATGTAAGAAAGCAATTTAATTTGTATAATAATTTCGTATTCTATGAATTTGTTATAATTACCACTTCCAGAAGAATTTTTTTTTTCAATTCTTTGGGATTTTATACATTGACAAAAAACAAAGACAGTTCTTTTTCTGTTTGTTCATTTCATAAGCCTTTATTTCATAGTATTTCATCATTATGCTAGCTAGGACATCAAGATGTTGAATTGTAATGGCGAACAGGGACATCCTGGTCTTATTCCCAATCTTGCAGGGAAAATATTACATTTCTCCCCATTTTTACTACATTGCACCATGAGTTTTCAGAGGTTTTTTTTTTTTTTTTTCATTCTAATTCTTCATTTTATTGCAGGCCTTTTAGGATAGAAAGAACAGCAGAGATCAGAGAAATCTTGGTTTCAATCACAACTTGGATCTTGGTCAAGTTAATTTCACTCTTTCACATTTTGATTTCCTCATCTCTTAATTAGAAAAAAAAATTCCTACACCAGTGACTTGTTGTGATAATTACTTAGAATAATGTTTGAATGAATATTTATTCATTTAACATTTTAATACCTAACTTTGATTTAGGACCTGTCCTAAATGCTTGTGAGAGAACTTTGTGTAAGACATAGGTCCAGTTCTCAGAAAATTTGGAGGAAAAAAGTCAAGGGCATTGTTCTCTTCAATAAACAATTGTAAGTGCTATGAGAGCTATAAGTACCGATAGTAGATTTTTAATAATTAGAAGCCATCATCTTCATTATTCCTTTTTCAGCTTCAGCTACTCTTCCTCGGTTGTCAAAAAGAACTATTAACATTCTCTATTTTCTTTCCATTATTGTTCTGCAAACAATAATGCATTGGTTTCTATAACAAAAACTTAGTACAAACAATTTTCCAATGATAACCTCTTTAGTTTCTGCATGGTTTCCACTTCTTCCTAACTTTTTCACATATATATCTCAAAATTTCAATACCTAACATATGTGATGCCAACTTTTTTTGGTGTCATGTGTATTTTTTTCATATAGTTCATATAATCTCTCCCTATATGTAACTTATAATATAATATTCCCAAAAGCAGAGGTGCTAGTTACATTTTTCTACAAAGCATACTAGGTGTTTAATACAAGGCTTTTTTTTGTAACACTGATGTTGATTATGTAGGTGAGTAGCCAGTCTTTATGAAGTCTGATATTAATCTTGGACTCAATCCTTTGCATTTTTATAAGGAATAGGAAGATTAAATGAAAGCATTTTGTGTATATGAGACTGTATAGGAGCATCAGCCCAGATTTTGTGTTTTACAAGATAAAATCATTGACAATACTTTGGTCTCCCAAAGGACGGTGTTTTGTTACCTGGCAACAGTCTTTACCACACTCATGATGTGTTAACTAAATATAATTTCAGGTCAGCTTCCAGGTATTGTCTGATTTATAAGCTGAGTATTTGACAAGGTTCTTTTCTTCTTTCTATTGCATCTCTTTTGGGAGGAGGGAAGAAGCAGAGGTGTAAGGGGATAAAGTGGCAGAGCTAGCGCAAACACAAACAACTGGGAACATATTAGCAGAGGTCACACCAAGAACAGTTCTTTCCCCTTTTATGCTTCCTGCTGCCTGCAGTGACCAATGCACAATCTTGGTTTTCGAACACGAAGTAATTTGTTTTGCCTCATCTCTCCTAACTTTCTTAAAAGTAAGCTAATGAAGAAGCAGCAACTGGAGGCACTAGCTAGGGTTTGCATGTATATGTGCGTGTGCCCAGGTGTTTAATAAAACATTAAGATAAGCGCTGTTTTTGAGATATTTTTGGTAGTTTCTGCTGACTCTTTAGTCTCTCCGAAATCTTTTCTGCATCAGCAATTTTGTATTTGATTTGGAACATGTTCTAAATATTCTCCACCAGAGATTAGAGGGTGGGCTTGTCGAGCATGAGTAAAGAAATTCAAAGAAATGGTTTTTGAGAACTCTGGGATGCTTGTTGTTTCTGTCAAAGGAAAGCAGCATTTCAGTACACATTTAGCTACTGAACAGCAATTACTGACCAAGTTTTCCTCATGACTAATGATTGCTATGCAAAATGCTCTACAAAATTTAGGGGATGCCATTTGCTGATTAAAATGCATTTGCTCTGATTGAAATTTGTATTTGAAGACAACTGATATTGGTTGTCTGGATGACTGCACCATTGACTTTGATACTGTTTTAAGGAATCACGTATTTACTTTTTACAGAAAAGGAAAAAAGGACATAGTTCCTGTCATCCGGGAGTTTTAGTTTAGTTGGTGGTCAGTTTTATAAAAGCAGTTTACCTATCTATTTTAGAGGAAAAATAGTCACTATTTAATTTGCCTGTTCCTGAATCTGAGTCTTCCAGAATTTGAGTTATTCTATGATGTAAATATATTAAAATGACTATTATATAAGAATCTCTGTGTAGAATATTGGAGTGTGTGTGTGTGTGTGTGTGAACATTAAATTTGTACTCTATGCCAGGGTCCTTTACAAATGTTAATTCTCAAAACAAAACTTTTAATTGGTATGTATTATTTATCAGCATTTTGCAAATTTGAAAACAGAGGCTCACAGGGCATAAGTAATTTGCTGAACATATGAAGTTGTGGCTATTTGAGTCATTGGCACGTTCGCTAACTTCAATTTCAATATTGTGTGCAATATTCAACTTCTCTTTAATGAATCATTTAATGAGAAATAATAAATATTAATTAATTATTAATTAGACAGATTGCACTTCTCCTGTTCAATAAAAAGACATTTCTAATACATATGTAGTTTATCTTAAATTATTAATAGATTTTTGTGTACCTAGAATACACATGTTTAACCTTCCTTTTTGCTTTGGTGTTTTATTTAATACCACAAAGTTTAGTTTGTCTTATATTTCAAGTTGCTTTGCATAAATTGTTATACACATATAAACTTATTTGTGCAATTATAATTTTAATGTTGGTTTGAAAGTATGATTAGATGACAGATTATAAGAGTAACATAAGTATTTTAGAAATAGATGAAATTACTCAGCACATTGTGAAAATAAAGACAATTTATATCATTGAATGTCACTCATTTGCATTCAAAAATAATAATAATAATTTCTAAGTAAATATGCACCAATCTTCATCAAAAAGTCCTATTTTCAAAATTCAAAATAAATCAATATTAGTATACCTCAAATTCTGGTATGGAGATCTTGTTCTTTAAGCATTATTTTGTTCTATTCATAGAAACCAAACTTTTGGCTAAAAAAGGAAGTTTTTAACCTTGCCAAAATGAAGAGTCTTATGCTGTCTTAAAATATTTAGCAAGAGCCAGCAGAAGCACACATTCTTCTGATTTTCACTAGTTCTTTTTAAATGATATTATCTGTTCCACACAGTTTCTGCAGAATAAAGAAATGAGGGAAGCAATTCATCTGTAAGAAAGAGGGGTATTTCCATTTGGAAATGGATAATGTGGGCAAAAGGCATTTGTAGAGATATAGGGACAAGATAATAAATATATACCCCAGATGCAGGGGAAAGGGGTCAGTGTCTCAAATGGCTCTGCACAGGGGGAGGTTCAAGAAGGTTGATGTAATGGAGCAAGCTAAAAATTAAAGCGTTCAGCCCTATAACATGCCTCCACAGTAAGCACTATGTAGAGACGACTGCCCAAAATCAGAGCAGTATCGATTTTTCAAATTGAAAATTACAGGATTTGTCCAAATGTAGCTCTTTGTTCTCATGCCATCATCTTTGTGATTTTGAAGTTTTATAGGCCAGTGACTGAATTACTTCTATTGTGGAGAGGAAAAGAAACTAATTTTTAAAGTTGATAATTCAATTATCATTATTACTTAGATATGTAATGTATTAATTTTATGAACAAGCAATTAATTTATTGTGGACTTGGTTTATTCACTTTCAATCTAAAGTACTCATATGAATCATTTCTGTGCTGGCCACAGCAGCGTCCCAGCTTAGCTCTCAAATTCCAGGCAGTGATGGAGACAGGGCCATGGTTTACCAAGATCATATTTACCATTGCCTCTGAGTTCCTTTTATATAACCTAAAACTTGTCATTTCTTAGAAAACATGAATACGTGATGTGGAAATAAGAAGAAGTATAAAAGTTTAGATTCCAAAATATGCCCAAAATAATCATTGAGAATAACTTATTTTTAAGAGTTTAGGAGTTTATTAACACTTTACTCTCTTTTATTTTGACAAATATCCCTTAGATTTAAAAGTCAAGGACTATTTTTTACAAAATGTGGAGCATCTATCCCACCACAAAAGAGTTCTCTTTTTTTAAAGAGCAAAAGCAAAACCCAGAAGAAAACCAAACAACAACAGAAAACGGTGTGTAAGTATAGTATTAGGAAACACTAACCATTCTTAAAAATCCTGTCTTTCAGGAAAGAACGGTGACCATCAGAAGACAAACAGTAGGAGGATTTGGATTAAGCATAAAGGTAGCCTGCCTTTCTAGTCTATCCTTACAAAGGCCGTGCCATAAGAGTTGAACTTTGGTGCATTTCAATGTTTGCTGATTAATCATTAGACAAGAATGGCTGTAGCAAACTTCTTAATATTTGGACTGGGATGTAAGTTAGGTAGGTTCTCACAGAATTCCTGCCAACTCTTACCATTTGATTTAGAAAATTTAGCAAAGAATATGGGAATTTTACCTTACCATTAAATATAACTCATTAACTTTCTTTATCTGGTTTCTTCGGAAGTGTTAAATATGATATCGTGTGCATATCTTTCTTTAACAAACTGGAGTAGGAAATGATGATCTGCAGTAAATAGAACATTAACAAGTTTCACACTTATAAAGCCCAATAGTAAGTGAGATATTGTATTCTGTTCATCTTGTTTATTTTTCTTTTTTTAAAAAGAAATCGGTAAATTTAATTTTATAGTGCTAGTCATATAGGATAGACTTAAAGTCTTTGCATAGCCTTTATTTTTAAAGTGAACACGTGTTCATTTCAATTTATTATCAAATTTTAAAGGCTTTCATTTTGTATATTATTGACTATTAGAGATGTGCCATATCTGTAATTTATTATAGAAATAAAGGAGAAATTTTTAAAGGATGGGAAATTATGTGAATATTGAAGAGTTAATCTCATGATTGCAATGCCTTTATCAAACCTACATCTCTTCATAGATAAATGAAGTTTAACTTTATAATTCTTAGGTTAGTCATTTGACTTACATAGGGTGAAAATAATTTATATATTTCAAGCACACATTTCTCGATATTTCAGCACAACTCATATCATATATGTATGGAAATCAGAACTCTAAATTTTGTGAACATCAGCTCTAGTTGACTTTGTGAAAATGACTCAGAGTAGAAATCAGTATGCAATAGTGTTGTACTGTCAGTGATAAGAAAAGAATATTGCTATACAGAGCATTGCCTTTAAAACATATTTTGTACATTCGGTTTATCAAAGTGAAACTTTATTTTATCACCAACTAAGACCAGGGAGGCATGTAGAACAAATTATAGGATGTGGAAAGTATGCCATGAGAATTTCATCCCTCAGTAAATGAGATTTTTTTTTTCTTTTGGCCAAGCTGTTTATTGATATTGCGTAAAGAATTTAAAGGTACCACTTAAGATACTAGAAAATCCATGAATGAAATCCAATAGTGAGAGCTGATTTCATCTGAAATAATTATTTTTACTGAATCAGGCACTAACTCTATTTCTGGTAGTATTGCTTACATTAATTTTATGTCACCTAGAAACGTTCTTTTCCTTTTTTTATTGTTGCTTGTATTTATAATTTAAACCCAATAATACAATGCTATGTATTTTTATTAAAATACCACATTTTAACCTAGTTTTTAAGCATCAATAATTTTTCTAAATAAATCTTTTCATATTGATGTTTTCACTATTTCAATCCAAGCAAAACTATTATGTGTGTAATGAATAGAATAATTTTTGAATTAAATAAGCATGTAGTTTCCATTCAAATATTAACCAATAAGTGGTATTTGAACTATGATCAATATCTTATATTAGGATTAACAAAAAAGAACATTTTGCAAAATTCTTATGACACACACACTCTGATAAGAAATACAAACATCAAGTTAGAAGCAGAATTCGTATTTTGGTGTTGAACTATTTATTTGGAGTTTTCAGGAGCAATTTGAGCCTCTAATATAAGTATGCATATAAATATGTAAATGCATATCTTACCCTTATTTGCTTCAGTTAAGTAATCCTCACTGGCACACACCTGGAAGATTTGTGGTGAGAATTATTAATTAAAACCTTTATGGTCTCGGCTTAAGATCACAGAAGGAAGATGGTATGCTAGACAACTGAAAAATCATTTACCAATGTAGTTAAGACTCCTACAGGTGCTTGTGAATTCCACTGGACTCAGAACACATGGCATTTTAGTTTTATATTAAAAACACTCTTTAAGAAAAAAAACTTGGTTAAAGGGTAACAAATGTCCTTTTTAGACAGAATGCAGTCAAACGCTCTAACATGTGCTGCTAGAAGTCAAAGCCAGCTGGCCATGCCCTACACTCCTGACAAATCTTGGCTTGGGGACGTTCCCGTCACAGTCACCACTATGCACCGTGGTAATTCGTCGTATCTCCCGACAAAGTGGACAAGGACAGTGAGGAGGGGCTTCTTATGTAGGTTTGAGTCCAGTATTTTGTTGGTTAATATGTCTCACTGGCTGTGGGCTGTGGGCAACATGATGTCTCTGTAGCTACCAGTGTCCACAAATCCTTGATGTCTGCTGCTCATGTGCAATATTGCTGTCTCTCTCAAGCCCTGTTTCCAGCCGGAGTACCTTGTAGGGTACAAGTTGATGGGAAAATAAAAGTTAGCCTTTACCTTCATTTTTCTTATTTACCTTATATAAGACATTGTTCAAACTTCTGGGACAAAAAACGTGCAGGTGGCTTGGAGGTTGAGGCAGTTCTATGTCCCACGAGCTTAATTCTAGGACTTTAACTCTTCCCTTGAAGCACTAATACCAGATACGATGTAGACCACATTGAGGAGAGTTCCCATCTCAAAACTTCCCGAAATCCCGAAGAAAGTATGTATTTAGTAGAAATGAAAGGAATATTGTAATAGCTTTACATTTTACAAATGTGATTTAAATAAGTTTGAATCCTTTTTCTTTTCAAATTTTGTCTAGTTTTCTTCCTATTATTCCTTAATTTTCCTCTTTAATTTTTTGAAGTATATTCTTTGGAGTTTCTTACCAAATCTGAGCCTGTCCTTTACTTATCATTTCTTCAAATCATCTCCAAAAATGCTAGACACTCAATTTGAAAAAGACAGCCACCCAAAAAGAGTTCTGACATCAACTACATTGAGGTTTAAGGTAGGAATTACTGATTTATCTTCACGCACATATTTGTCCTTTAGGTTCCTAAACTCCCATCATTTTACAATAAGAATGTTTTACTACATTAATAGGTAAAGACCAAAATTACCTATTTCTCCATGTTAATTCTAAATAATAATAATAATAACAATAAAACAAAAGCAAAGCCAGAAATTACCTCTGAGCACAGTGTCCAGCTTTAGCTCATACTGCACATGGAGAAGCGGATGCCTTGACCAGAGAGGTGCCACACACAGGCTGACACTTTCACATCCCCATCTCCCAGTTTTGATGAACTATTTGTCTTCAGCTCCTAAAGTGAATAGAAATTCTTTTTAACCTCTGGGGAGAATGTCCCTTCCTGGATTGTGCTACTTTCTCTGCTTTCCCTGTCTCATTCTACAGTTATTCTTTCATTGCTGTTTAGCAAATCTAGGAGGATCAAATGAGTAACTGAGCCATAATGTAATGAGATGAAATTTGGAGGCATGACATACACATTTACGCCAGTCCCTCTGCTGTCTTTAAGTGAAGCAAACCTCTACTTTAGACCCTTGAAGGAGAGAGCAATGCTTCCTTCCTCTCTGATCAGAACCCTTCTAGGGTTTTGTGCACCACCCTTACTCGTACTCCCAGCCCTGCAGGCATCCTTGCTTATTCCAGCTGTTCTTTCTCTCAGGTTGCCTTTCAGAGGTGTCCTCACTCCTGCTGTAACTTTTGGTATTTTTTGACAGTGATTTAGATTTCTTCCTGCTTGTTATTATTTAATTTTCCGTGATTAAAACATCTCTCAGAAATCACACATTTGTATGCTTTTTATTTCTTTGTGTTAATTTGTCCATCATTTAAAAAAAAAAAATCAAGCTCTTCTATTTACTTTTTAAAAATGTTTCCACAAAAAGCCCTATCTGGGCTTCCCCCAAAGCTGAACAAAAGAACCACTAAACTTTCAACTCATAATCACATATTCTGTTGCCTGCTCTCAGTTAGAAACTGCTCCTTTGAAGTGGACAGATTCAGCAGGCTAGTGGCATCCTGCACATGGCCTTGGGCCTGGCTGTTTTTCTCTGCTGTAGCACCATTTCTACCGGCATTTCATGGTTCTTCTCCCAGCCTCACCGATTCTTGTCTCCTTCCCTCTTAAGTGCCCATTCTCTGGTCTGGACCATTCAAAGACTTGGCATTTATATAAATAACTTTAACAGTTTCTTCAACTACATCTGCAGAAATCAACAAATTTCTGCATCGTAGGATCCAATATTATTGTATTTTGCCTTATTCTTCTTATCAGAATTACCATAGGGAGAGTCAGGTTAAAGTCAGCCATCATCTTGCCCTTGTGAGGCTTTATTTATCTCTCATGTCTTTTAAAATCCAATACTATCTATCTGCACATTATTAAATTATACTTCTGACCATTGTCATTTTAAAAATTACCTCTGAGGGAAAGGAAGTTTTAAATGTTATTACTGTAAAAATATTTTATGCAGTATTTTCCAACAGACACAACTTTCTTATGCAAATATATAAATTATCTATGTCCATTAAATAAATGTATGCAATCAAAGGTGATTTCTATTTGGAAGCTTTAACACTGCAGCAATCAAAAATATAATTATAATCATTATTACTCTTAATCATCTTCTCATTTATAAATAAATTGCTAATATTTATGCCCCACTTATTAAGTGCCAGATTCTGAGCTAAATACTTTATATTTAGTTTAACTTGCCTTTATTATCGAGCGAAGTAGATAACTATTGTTATACCTTCCACAAACAATGAGATCAAGTGTCAAGAGGTTAAGTAGTTCATCTATTGTTATAAGCAGTAGAGTTGGACCTCAGTCCCCCTAGAAGCTGATAACAAAGTCCTTACTCTTAATAACTATGCTTTGAACTATGAGACCTGGAATAAATTACCTCAAAACTCTCTACTCAGGGACACAAATCATGTTTCCTCTCTATGCTGTTCACTTTCTGGTTTATTTAAAACTGAAATAAGGCCAGGCATGGTGGCTCATGCCTAAAATCCCAGGACTCTGTGAGGCCGAGACGGGCAGATCATTTGAGGTCAGGAGTTCAAGACCTGCTTGACCAACATGGTGAAAACCTGTCTCTACTAAAAATAATTTTAAAAAATTATCCGGGCATGGTGGCACATGCCTGTAGTCCCAGCTACTTGGGAGGCTGAAGAAGGAGAATCACTAGAACCTGGGAGGTGGAGGTTGCAGTGAGCTGAGATCATGCCACTGCATTCCAGCCTTGGTGACATAGCGAGTCTCTGTCTCAAAAATAAATAAATAAAAAAACATAAAATAAAATAAAATAAAATAAAATTGAAATAAATGTGTCAAAATGACCAAGATCAAGTAAGCAATTTTGTAAGATAAAGGGTTGAGTACTAATTGTTTCAAATTTTCCAAATAAAATATATCTTTATACTAGTTGTAATAAATGTATTCCTTTTAACTTATTAGTGGTATCTGGGCAGAAATATTTAAATAACAACTGTTGCTATAAGTGCATGCACAAGCTTGCATACATTTTTCTGCATTTCGCGCCCCCTGTTATTTTTACTCAAGTCCAATTTGCTTGTTTTCACTATAGACAAAATGGATATGCCCATTTCCATCAAAAAAGTAGATAACAGGGCCGGGCACGGGGTTCACACCTGTAATCCCAGCACTTTGGGAGGCTGAGGCGGGTGGATCACAAGGTCAAGATATTAAGACCATCCTAGCCAACATGATGAAACCCCCATCTCTACTAAAAATACAAAAATTAGCCAGGCGTGGTGGCGCGTGCCTGTAGTCTCAGCTATTCTGGAGTCTGAGACAGGAGAATCGCTTGAACCTGGGAGGCAGAGGTTGCAGTGAGCCGAGATTGTGCCACGGCACTCCAGCCTGGGCAACAGAGTGAGACTCCATCTCAAAAAACAAAAAAAGGAGATAACAGGAAGACACTAAAGCTTAAATTGAGGATTATGAATTAGTCCCAAGAATTAGTTGAAACCACTGGTCAATTATTTCAAAGACCATTACTTTTTTGTATTAAATGGCTTTATTGAGGTATAATTCCAATACCATACAATTTATACATTTAAAGTGTACAATTAAATTGTTTTTAGTATATCCATAGATCTTTGCAACTATCACGACAGTCAATTTTAGAACATTCTATCAATTCCAGAAGAAATCTCATATTTATTCATCACACTTTTATTCCCTATCTCCCCTATTTCACCGCTGAGTAATGACCATTTCCCTATTTTAGACTTTCATATGAAGGTAATCATATAGCATGTGAAAAAGACAATTATTTTTTTCCCAAAATCAAACGAAGTATGTTGGCAGACAAAGATAGCATCCAGAAGGATGATGACTCTTGCCCATATTCCTCCAGGTGATATTCCTTTACTTGCCTCTTCTGTAACTGTCCATTGCAGCTCTTAACTCTAATTACTGTTATTCTCTGCTTACAAGTAGTTTCCTTTCTCTAAAAGGAAAAGTAATGGTTAGCTCTATGCATCTTCCCTGCACCCCATGCCCCATAATATGATTGACTGATTGGAGCAATAATAATATTGAATTGAAAAGATTACTTGGCAAGACTCCTGATGCTCTAAAAGCAGTCCAGGTTGTATTTGGTGATATTTCACAGTAACACTGGTAAAATCATTGTGTTGAGTCCTTCTCAAAATGCTTTAGATGGGATTTTATATCCTTCTTCCTACAGAGCTAGCTATAAAATCCACTATGTGTTGTAAAAAGAATACTACAAAGCTGAACGATGTATGTGTGAACATTACCTAGGCTGTGCTTTAGAACACTGCCTCCCTTTTCCTAATCTTGGATTTCTCCATAAACTAGAATAACAGTGCTCATTTAATTCCAACATTCTCTAAACCATAGTCAGGAGCCACAGCCCCACCCAGGAGTGCCTTGGGGATAAGATTGTGATGAAAACCTTTTCCCGACCGCATGCCATTTATACTCCAGTAGGAAAGTAGACTTTGATCAAATTGTTACCAAAATAAATGTAAATCATAGGCATGATCCGGTGCTACATAACTGAATTATTTCAAGTAAGGAGACACTGAAGGAGGAGGCTTTAAGCCAGAATTTCAAAATGAACAGTTTCCAGGTTAGGAGGGAGGGAGGAGCATACCTGGCCAGACAACAGTGCATTCTCGTGTCCTTCAGGTTCAGGGCGATGGAGGTCCAGGAGCTGCACTGGAAGAGGGGCAGTTTAAAGATTCTCATTATTATTCAAGTGTCATGGAAGCCTATCACCTGTTTTAAACAGGGCAAGCCACATAATTTGATTATTGACTGGAAAACCTTACATTTCCCCATTTAGGCCCTGCACGAAATCTAATTAACTATAGCAGCTGAGCTGCTCACATTTTTTTCAGTAATGAAGGCAATATGATTTTGAGTTCCAATTTTATCTTCTGAGTTTTGTCTTACAATTTAGTAATTACTAAAGTCATTTTCAGAAAATAGTTTAAAAAGTATGTCAGGCTCCAAATGTCTAATTTAAAAGCAAAAAACAAACAAAAAAAACAACAAAAAACAGTCCAGAGGCAGTGGCTTATGCCTATAATCCCAGCATTTTGGGAGGTCGAGGCAGGCAGATCACCCGAGGTCAGGGAGGGGTTCAAGACCAGCCTGGCCAACATGGTGAAATCCCTTCTCTACAAAAATACCAAAATTAGTGGGGCATGATGCTGGGTGCCTGTAATCCCAGCTACTCAGAAGGCTGAGGTGGGAGAATCACCTGAACTGGGAAGTGGAGGTTGCAATGAGTCAAGATCGTGCCATTGCACTCTAGCCTGTGAACAGAGTGAGACTCCCTCTCAAAAAAATAAAATAAAATAAAAACAGAATAACAAAACCCAAAAGCCATGTTTGGATTCAAACCACTCAAATTTTAGGATAAATTTTACATGTAAAAGAAAAATTATGGTAAAATAAATATTAGTTACATTTTGCATTACAAAGATAGTTATAATACTCTCCCCTTAACCTTGGGGGATACATTCCAAGACCCCAGTAGTTGCCCGGAACTGCAGACAGCATTGAATCCTATACTGCATTTAATATATTTGCTTACATATGCATATTTGTGATAAAGTTTAATTTGAAAATTAGTATAGTAAAAGATGAACAGTAACTAATAATACAATGGAACAATTATAACAATACACTATAATAAAAGTTATGTGAATGTGCTTCCTTTCTCTCACAAAATACTGTATTGTACTGTACCCTAGATAACTGAAAGCACAGAAAGCGAAACACAAATAAGCAGGGGATTGCTGTACCAGTCTGGGTGTTGAAGAAAGAATGGGATTATTGAGCCAACCTGCAGAAAACCTCTATCTCAAAAGCCTTGTCTCTGGACACCAAGAATAGGTTTCCCAATGTCCCGCCATGGTAATTTGCATTAATAGTCTATGCATTAAAATAATTTGTGTTCAGTAGTAGAGTAAGAGAAAAGGGTGAAATGCAAAAACAGCTGAAGGAAAATAGTCTGATAACAGCCTCACTGATGAGACCAGCAAAAACATTGTTTTTCCCTGTCCCAGAATATCTGAATCACTATATCTGGATGATGGCTTCATCTTTTAATTTCACCTAAAAGTTCATCAGTTAATGACTCATTTGAGTTAACCAGCTTTTTCCTTCTAAGAAACGTAGATGCATCCTTAACATCCTTTCTAATTTCCAAGTATCTCTAGAGGCTATCAGTGACCTTACACTAGGCCTGGGAAAGCCTTAGACTTCATTAACTAATTCACTCATTCAATTCAACAAACATTTCAAAGAAAAACTAGACATTATTTCAGGCACTAGGTTTACATCAATGCATGAAACAAACTACCAATAACGTCTGTCCCCTGAAGAAATTTGCATTTTAGTTAGGAATGGGAAGGAGAAAGAAAACAGTAAGTGTGAGAAATGAAAAAATAGCATGTTAGATACTGATAACTGTAATGGGACAAAATGGAGCATATAATAGGGGATTGGAGATTTGGAGTCCTAACTTATAAATATTAAGGATCTTTGAAGGGATTAGTCCTAATCTTGTTTACCACTTTAATGCTATGTGAGTTTCCTCATAAATCTTAATAGATGGACTATGTTCGCATAATAGCCATCCTTTATTCAGTGTTTACTGTGTGCAAATAAGCACGTAATTTCCACCACACTATCAGCCACAAATCACTATCTCTGCTCTAATCAGAGGCAGGGTCATCTTAGACACAGTCTGTGTTTGTTAGGGACACACAGACCAACCAGCAGAACAAGTGGGAGCCATTGTAACCTACACCAGTGTCTTCCCACATAGAGCTGAGGGGTGCAGTGCACAAATATTAGGTTGCTGTGAAACAGTGAGGAAAAGGGAATTGAGCAGTGCGCTTGAAATTCAGTGTGAGTAGGACAGTTTTCATTATCTTAATTATCATATTTCTTCTTAATATTCTGGAAGTGGAAAGGACTCTACTTGCCAAGAAAAAAAAATTAAATGTTCCTGCTTTTTAAAAAAACGATTGACTATTTTATATTTAAGAATACTGGCAATTCAGTGTTAAAAATGGACATGCAAGGGAAAAAAGAGTATCTCTTCCAAAATAATTTTATGTGCTTGGAAAACAGAAGGCTTAGGTGGTTTACATATTCTGAAGATAGAACAACTTCAATGGAATTCAGACTGTCTTTTCAACTAGCCTGTGTTACAAGTTCTATGCTTCTTTTCATGTGTGACATTTTATTCTTTTATGTACTGATTTCATTTTTCGACTACTGCTTTTAACTTTCTCAACACTGTAATAAAAAAAAAAACGGGATTTTTGTTCAGTTTTTAAGGATTCATTTTATTTTCCTTCACGTAAATTTAGCTTACTTGTCTTTCTTTTTTCATATCTCATTGGGTCAAATAAAAAATAGTACTATTGCAGGCCGGGTGCGGTGACTCACGTCTGTAATCCCAGCACTTTGGGAGGCTGAGGCGGATGGATCACAAGGTCAGGAGATGGAAACTATCCTGGCCAACATGGTGAAACCCCGTCTGTACTAAAAATACAAAAATTAGCTCGGTGTGGCACACCTATAGTCCCAGCTACTCGGGAGGCTGAGGCAGGAGAATGGTGTGAACTTGGGAGGCGAAGGTTGCATTGAACCAAGATCGCACCACTGCACTCCAGCCTGGGCGACAGAGCAAGTCTCCGTCTCAACAAACAAACAAACAAATAAATAAATAAACAAATAGTAGTACTTCAATATTCTTGGCAGTATGTTTTACTCTGTAAAATTTGTAGTATGTGCTTTCACACAAAGAGGAATTCAATACTAAGGAAGGAAATGCAGATGAATCCCTGGTTTTTCATGCATATGCACATTCTGATTTTGTTTATCCATTTGTTTGGGTAAAGTTCTCTCTGCTTCCTTGGCATCCCAAGGGGTCACTGCACCACCAAAAGCCCTTAGCTGCCAGCATAGAATAACTTAGCAGGATACCAGTAATATATAATTATCTGGTGTTTGGAATCCTAAGTAAGAATTTCTATTGGACAGCATTGTTACACATTGAAGAGAATACCTATCTAAATACATAATCAATATTTGTTGATAAATGAAAACTTTCAAAGCCAGTTGTTATTATTGGATGTCTCAGCAAAATTCTAAACAGGTAGATAATTTTTATGGGAGCACTATCTCCTTAGTGGAGAAATTCTACAAGTTTATTTAAATTCTAGCCGGTATCCACTTAACATTCCGTTCAGAACCTGTATCGTTTCTTAGCTACAAGCAGCATTTTTTTTTTTTTAGATTAAAAAGTACAGTATATGATTTTCTCCTTTCAGGGAGGAGCAGAACATAACATTCCGGTTGTCGTTTCAAAAATCTCCAAGGAACAAAGAGGTAACGTGTTTAGAGAATTGTGTACCAGCCATTTCTTTAAGACATTGTTTTTGAAGTGTGACATGATATTTAAGAATCATAAATTATGATGTGATTGACTGGCTTCAGCTTCCCCACCTTCAGGCATTAGTGGCTGAGTTCGCTTCCTGGGTCCTTTCCCTTTATCCTCTTGTCGGGGAGGGCTTCTCTCACAGAAGGGGAACAAGGATGAAAGATAGGAACCCATGAAAGCAGGTATGAGTTAGGGACTGCACGGCTTTTCAGTTGTTTCATTAAACCAACAAAGATACAAAAGTAATGATAACAAGTCCCATTGAGTAAAGACAATTTAAAGTATCTGTTTTTCAGTTCTAATTTGCAATTTTACTCAGCTAACCATTCATAAGAAACTGTAGGAAAACTAATGGAGATATAAAGCAGATGTTGCAATAACTGAAATTAGTAAAACAATATAATGTTTAAAAATGAACTAGGAGCCAATTCCATAGATGACGGGTTAAATGTCTATGTCTTAAACTTTTTCACAGAGACCTAATAATCTTAAGTGCATTAGAAAATGTGGTCTCCTACCCTTAGAAAAGCGGCTCACTTTTAGCAACTGTTAGGTCTGCAATAGTAAAAGTAAATGTATCTGCATGTGCTTCAGTAATTAGACTGAATCATATTGTTTTGAATTTCCATTTTTTCTGGATCTTTTAAGATGCTAACCATATAAAACACTTAATTTTTATATTTGTAAATTTTATCTTTAATTAAAAGTCCTTTCATCTGAATAGCAAAAATAGTCAATATGTTATCAACTGTGCTTTTTCATTCACAGCGGAACTTTCGGGACTACTCTTTATTGGAGATGCAATTCTACAGGTATACATTTTATCATTATATTTGTGGTCAAAACATTAACTCAGTTTACAATATGCCATAGGAAACTATGCTTTTCTTTTCATTGCAGATAAATGGCATTAATGTGAGAAAATGTAGACATGAAGAAGTGGTGAGTTTACTTTTTCCTAATGTTATAATTTTCCCCATGTGCAAATAAGAATTTAGTGCATTGCTGAAGATTGTCATTTCATTCATTAGGCAGATATGACATTTATCCAGTTTGATATCAGATTTTCAAATGTTCTCTTGTTTTTTTTTTTTAATTAGAAATAGATTAATGAGTCCTATCAAGGATGAAATGTGTTTTGAAGTTCTTACTTAAAGATGAACATTTTCTATGTTTTTCCAGTTTTTCTATCTACCCCTACCAGTCAATGTCCACTAAATACACCATTAGGTGAAATGTATCTCTAAATCTCTGTAAGTGTTTAAAAGCTTATAAACAATTCATTTATGCCTGTAGAATGTCAGACAGTACAGGCATCCCTCTCTATTTATGGGATTTCACATTGGCAGATTCAACCAACCATCTGTAGAAAATACTTGAGGAAGAATAATAAGAAATAACAATCAATAATAAAAATAATTCAAAACAATATAACAACTATTACATAGCATTTGCATTATATTAGATATTACAGGTTATCTAAAGATGATTTTAGGCATACAGGAGGATATGCATAGTTTGTATGCAAATATTACAACTTGTTATATAAGGGACTTGAGCATCCATGGGTGTTGGTATCCTCTGGGGTCCTTCCTGGAACCAATCCCCCACAGATAGATTACCTAGGAACAAATGGAAGGACATATAAAGACTGCAAGTGTGTATTGTCTGTGTGTGTGAGTGTGTGTGTTTGTGTGTGTGTGTGTGTGTGTGTGTGTGAGAGAGAGAGAGAGAGAGAGAGAGAGAAGAGAGAGAGAGAACCTTAACCTCAAGGCAGACAGGTTTAACACTAGACAGAGTAGTCATCCAGTTTTATGGCGGTGTTTTCTTAGATTTGTGAATGTGCAGATTCCCAAGCCCTGGAATTACATATTCTAATTTAACAAGTTTGGGTGGGCCCAGGGATGTGGATTTTAGCAACCGGCTTAAGTGGTTCCATTATAGGTGGCTTCTAAATTCAACTTTCAGAGAAGCTGAAAGGTTAAGGAACTTCTGTTGGGGGTGGTGAAATGACATTAAAAAAATACAGAAAGGAACAAGACTGTGATAGGCATTCTGGGACATGTCTGTCTTGGTTGATTAAATATCATTCTAAAACCTCACTGATTTCTGTATCAGCTCCTATGGGAAACAGTAGAGGAGAAATTGTATTTAAAAGTTTATACTCAAAGGCCAAAGAAAATAAGGAATACTGTAGCCCTTTTGCTTGTCACAGCTCTAGTTTATTTGGGTTTTGAATAGACTGCTCCTCTGTTAAAAGCTATTTAGAGAAAACTATGTTGATACATTTCAAATCTCAGAGAGGCAACCTCAAGTGTCTGTGAAAAGCCACGGCTGCACAAGAACTGATATGAAGGAGGGTTTTTAATTAGGAACACTTGGCATAAATAATCAAGATTTTTTAGTATTTGTCACTTGTCTTTGTCTTCTTAAAATCTTATTTGAGCCATGCTCTTGCCACTCTGTTCTCAACTTTATGTAAAATATACATATTTCAAGTCCCAAGTTTCCTACAAATATGTGCAAAGAGAACTAATATTTTAGAACAAATTTGTAAACAAGTGAGAAACCAGCACAGCACAGAGCCTTCTATTTTGCAGATTCCTATGTAAATTTTAAATATAGTCACATAAGCCAAGCTGCTTGTAACTTGACTCTTCTTTCAAAAGCACAAAGTGATTTTAAACTCATTACCCAGGGAGTAAAAACAAGTGCATTCTCTTTTAAAACCACATGCTGTTAGATGGAATGCAATTTGCCCTTCAGAGGCAGGCAGCATGCTTAGACAAACTGAGATGGAGCTTTGATTAAACAGATTAGTGCGGCATGAAAGATTAGAACGCGCTAATAATTCCACTTCTGAATGGTGCTCATTTTGTTATAAAGGAAAGAAATTTGGGATTGTATTGCAAATTATATGTGGTCCTTCACAAAAAATTTTATTTTTTTCTGAGAAGCTTAACTCTACCAGCTTTGAAATATGAGTACTAATATTTTCATTTATATCTAATAATTGACTTTCCAACAGCTATTAGATGCTTTGTCCTCGCTGCTTATTAGCTAAGCCAATAGACTTACACCTCAGCAGAACAGAGATATTAATTAAATGTTTAATAATAAACCTACAAGGGCAGAAAAAGTTATAACAAGCTCAGAGAATGTAGGTGGTTTTCAGTTAGCATGCTGATATACCACATTTCTTATTCCAAATAGCATGCTGATATGCCAGATTCCTTGTAAAACACCAAATTCAGAAACAAATTGGGCAGGTATGGAAGCATGTTGTTTGTGCATATGTAACTTTTATTTTATACACCTACGCTATTCCTTGATGTTAGAAATTGTGCATTCAGCCTATGATCGGCTTTACCGTCAAACAGGCTTCAACAGTGTAAATGTTTTGTGTTGGAGTTATTAGGTTTGATTTATATAGAAGGGGGATTTTACATTGTCCAGGTAGTGGCCAGTACCTGGTGCTGTGAGCAGTGGGTGCTCAGTAGATTTGTGGATGGGATTCTGTAACCAAATGCCTAGAATTAGATCACGGAAGCATTTACATCTACTGTATATATTTCTCATGGGACCAGTACGGGAGTATAATAAGTGAATTCCTGGCTTCATTCACATCACCCACTGCATTCTTGCTGGAAGATTGTTAAGGAAGAGAATCTCACAGTTTCCTCATGACAGGAAACTAGAACCAGTGCCCAGCACTGCTTGGCATGCAGCATAGTGCATACATAGGGCTTCAATGCTCAGAAACAACTCTGCAAATCGTAGCTCAACCACTTATGAACATTGTAATTTAAGGTCAACAGAATGAACTAGCCTTTTCTATCTCTCTATTATGTATTCAAAAAAATGAACAATTAATAAATGTTGTGGGAATGAATGAGAATACTATATGTGAAACTCCAAGCATATACCTGGCAATTAAGTGGTCATACATTATTTTGATACCACCAAATGCCACCGCTCACATGCTGCTGCTCATCTCCCTATTCCCCCTCCATGGGCACTGCTGTGTCAAGGTGGGACAGGGTCTGCTTAGGACCCATGATGGGTCCTGGGGGGTCACACACAGACAGAGTCAATGCTGCTGCTCAGCATCCCATGCTTCCTTCAACAATTCCAGTGAGGAGTTGACATCGTAAAGAGTGGCAAGGCAAGACTGGCAGGACTGTGTGAAAAATGGGGATTCCTTGTTCATCCTAGCAGTGTGTCTTTTTATTTTCCATGTGAACATGTTTTGGAGCTTATGAGTTGTGCCTCCAAGACACCAAAACCCATCAAGGAAAGCGATCTATTGCCACTGCAGATGTTAACATTGATGCTACTCTCTTTGCCACTGAACCCTAAACACAGTAAGCTGATGGCCATCTCTATATCTTGTCATCTGTATTTTTCTTTTGCTTAACAAGTAAACTGATCACATATCAAGAATTATTTGGGCTAGGTGTGGTGGCTCATGCCTATAATCCCAGCACTTTGGGAGGCTGAGGTGGGTGGATCATGAGGTCAGGAGTTCAAGACCACCCTGGCCAACATGGTGAAACCCCATCTCTACGAAAAATACAAAAAAATTAGCTGGGCGTGGTGACATGCACATGTAACTCCAGCTAATCAGGAGGCTGAGGCAGGAGAATTGCTTGAACCCAGGAGGCGGAGGTTGCAGTGAGCTGAGGTCATGTCACTGCACTCTAGCCTGGGTGACAGAGCAAGACTCCATCTGAAAAAAATCAAACAAAACAAAATTAAACAACAACAACAACAAAAAAATGAATTGTGTGAGTGGCTGGGTGGCTGGACGCAGTGGCTCACGCCTGTAATCCCAGCACCTTGGGAGGCCCAGGAGAGCAGATCACTTGAGACCAAAGATTCCAGACCAGCCTGGCCAACATGGTGAAACCCTGTCTCTACTAAAAATACAAAAATTAGTCAGACGTGGTGGTGCACGCCTGTGATCCCAACTACTCAGGAGGTTGAGGCAGCAGATTTGCTTGAACCCAGGAGGCAGAAGTTGCAGTGAACTGAGATTGTGCCACTACACTCCAGCCTCTCAGACAGAGCTAAAAAAAAAAAAGTACTTACCTGAGTGCCATCTATGTGAAAACTCTAACACTGAATACTTTTTGAGGCTGAGTACTTTGTGTGATAAGAAAGAATATATAAATAACTCTATATCACTGTAACCTTATTGGTATGTGGGCATCATTTCTTTTGATTTTAATAATTGAGTATACAAAAAATTTAAGAAAACTATTAGAAAGGGGCAATATGAAAACAATGTTTATTTACAATGGTCTCTAACATATAACAATGGTGATCTTCCTCTCTTCACCAGAAATAATAGGAAATAAGATTTAACTATAGCAGAAAAGTATTCATTGAGTAAAAAGCATCCTGGTTCTAACAAGATAATCCATTCGCATAACTGAAATTTCCATCTAACGAGACTTTTGAAAGAGTAAATCATCATTAGGCAAAGCAAGATGGATGCATAGCTGATTCCAGAGGTTGCCTTTTAAAGTAGCATTTCCGCTTTCAGACTTGAGATTTATGGGTTTCAACAAAAGTATGTTCATTTGCTTTTTGTTTCTATGATTTTCATGAATAGAATTTATTAGGTAATTTGAATTGCAAAAATTAACACCTAATTCTGAAGTCATGACTTTGAACTAAACTCTAAAAAAATTCATAATTCTAAAAGAATAGAATGAGTAACTAAAACTATGTAATTTAAAATGACACCTTCATACAATGAAAACAAATGCTGATAAAACCTAATGCAAAAATCCTGGTTAATAGCATTTTGCTTGTTATGATATATGCCTAACTTAATTTAAAATTTCCATTGGAGTAAGAACATATTCTTTTTTACTTTAATCAGACAAAAACAATACAAGAGTTATAACAAATCATCTCGGAAAAGGTATAAATTTATGTATTGCAACAATCTGGGAGGTTTTATGTGTCACCAAGGAACAAATTTAGGATGTGAGTTGAGCACAAAGATCATTTTAGATTAAAATATCATGAGGTACAAGTCATGTTTTACCTAACTGCTGACTATTACATTGTTTACAATCTGAAAATAGGTTTTGAGCTCTAAGTGATTAATACTTCCTTAAGAATTCTAACCGTACTGGATAATTTTTCTCTGAATTAACTTCCACCAAGGAAAGCCATATACAATGTAATTTAACTTTTAATGTTTCTCAGTGCTCTGGGAAATGTTTAGTGCAACCACAAAAAGGCCAGAAATACTGTCTACACTATGCCTGCTTTTGAAAAGAAATAAAATATCCTTGCCTTATTTTCATACTTAGCTTTGCATTAATCCTTTTAGGGATGCCTTTTTTGCTAGACCCACCTGTCCGTCCCCTGTATAAGTTATGCATCCAGACAGCACAGGTGACATTTTAATGGCATACATGCTTATACTGACTGCTGATTCTTATCAAATCTTTATTTGTGGTCTATTTTTTGAGTGAAATTGAACATCTTAGAGAACTGAAAGACCTGATTTTGCAAAGTTCCATCTAGTCCATCCCTTCAGCTGTAACAAAATACTTGCAACTGGATAGCTTATAACTAATAGAGGCTTTTTTTTTCCCCTCACAGTCATGGAGACTGGGAGGTCCAAGATTAATTCACCAGCAGGCTTGGAGTCCACTGAGGGCTGCTCTCTGCTTTAAAGATGGTATCTTTTTGCAGCCTCCTCTGGAAGAGATGAAAGCTGGGTGGGTCCTCACACAGCAGAAAATATTTGAAGGGCCAAGCAACTCTCTGAAGATCCTTTATGAGAACATTAGTTCTGTGCATGAGAGTGGAACCTTCATGATTTAATAACTTCCCAAAAGACTCTACCACTTGCTCTACCACTGTGGGGGTCAAGTTTCAATATAAAATTTGGAGGGACACAAATGTTCAAACCTTAGCACGTTCTATTAATGAGACAAAACCAGGCCTGAAAAACCAACTACTTATTAAAGCCCCAGCCAATTTCCTTGTAGAGGAGTCTAAAAACAGGATACACCCCAGCAGGCACACCTAAACCAGGTCAAATTGGGAAGAGAAAGCTGGCAGGGCAGGCATGGGTGTGCCTGCAATCCCTTCACACATTCCGCAGGGATCTTCTCAGACACTCTCCTGTCTGAGGGATTGGAATGAGGAATGTATGTTATACAAATTCTATAATTTTCACATAGCTGACATTTTATTTTAAAATAATCAGCTCATCAAACTGAAAGCCAAGAAGAAACCATATGACAATGGAGGTTTTAACGCAAGGTAAAAGTTTTGTCACACTTTTCCACTCTGTGATGTTGATAAAGGGCCTCATTCTCTCTCTCCCTCGTTTCTCTCATCTGAAGGATTAAGAGTTTGAAGTAGATTATTGCTTAGGTCTTTTTCAGGTAAAATGTTCAATTCTTTCATTGTCAAATAACACAAACATTTGTTAAAGCCTACAGAGCTGCAGCACACAAAGAGAAACCTCTAATGGGGATACCTATGGGCCTCCCTGGATGACAACGCATCTACACTGGCTCAGCAATGGTCACAAATGCACCATGCTGATGCAAGATATTAATAATAGGGGAACTCTTTGTATTCCTGACTCTCCAAATTCTCTATCAAAAGACAATTTTAAGGCCTTCCCAAGGAGCAAATGTACAATTTTAAGCAAATGAATACAGAGATGTGAGATTAGGCAAAATGTTTTTACTTCTCTCCCCTTTTGAAATACTTTCTATATGATAATGAATAACTCTTTAAATGTAAAAATCGTAAAGATAAAAGAGGAGGAGAATAGAAGACAAGGGGAAAGGGTTGTTGGCAATATTATTTAAGAATAGAGAGCAGATAGATGGAGCGGGGGCGGGGGGGGGGGACCTAAAGGGCCAAGGGGCTATAGTCAAAGTCACCATTCAGCAAACATCCCCGCTGCAGGCCTCAGACAGGAATCGTGGATGGGAGTGTGGAAAGGAAGGATTGAAGAGGTGTAGTCAAGAACAGGCAATCGAATTAGAGTTCAAGAGGCTCTGAGTATTCAGCCCCAGGCACTGCCGTAAGTACAGTGAGATGTCCATTATGGGCAGTAAGTGCTCTGTGTTTGTCCTTCCTTCAGCTCTCAGAATATTGGCAGCCGGTTTCACCACTCAGAGAAGAGGTGAGAAGATTCTTTTTTAGTGAAATTGATCTAACAGAAATAATCCACAAATAACACATTTGGACTCTCCTGGTGCAAACAGAGTTCACCCTAAACCTCACAGTGGAACCCAGTCGATAAACCATGAGTCCTGTACCCAACGCTGTCAATTTGCTTTTCAGTGTCTCACTCTGAAATATTTTGTGATACCAAAGGATCATTAAGATTTGAAGAAAATCAACCACATCAAAGGCAGAGGCTAAAACAGGAAAAAAAAATTGAGGAAACAGACAAAGCAAGGTTTATTTAGCAAAAGGATTTTATATTGTAATATTTTCAGATAGATGGTGAAAATTAATTTGTAAATGAATTAACGCTACCATTATATATAAAAGGAACATGCAGAAAAAGAAGAACTCCTGGATATTAACACTTTGATATCCATCTTTAAAAATTAGATTACAAAAATGTTGGGAAACATATCAAAATGGAATAAAGTAGCAAACAAGAAGGTAATATGGCAGATAAAGAATATGAGAGACAGCACATTCAATAATTTTGACATTGAACCAATGGAATTCAGAAATAAAATATTACATGAAATAAAAGGAGCATCCATTATCAAAAGAATAATACAAGAAAAATATCCAGACTTCTTGTATATGTTTTCCAGTAGAAACACAATACCAATTAAAAGAAAATGAAATAAAAGCATTTTACATGTCTATACTTGCCATGAAGTAGCATCAAATTTTGATATTACTCTGCATTTTCCTAATGACTAAAAATATTGAACATCTTTTCTTATGTTTGTTATATATGCCTATATCACCTTTAATTTAAATTTAAATTTTTCTTTAATTTAAAGAAGAAAATTTAAATTTAAATTTTTCTTTAATTTAAAGAAGAAAATTTAATTTTAAATTTTTCTTTAATTTAAAGAAGAAGGGTTCACTTCTTACTGATTTCTAAGAGTTTGTTTACATAATCTGGCTACAAGTCAGATATACAATTCGCAAATATTTTTTCCTCGTCTATGGCTTAATCTCTTCAATTACTTAATGGTGCTTTTTGAAGCTCAAAGGTTTTGCCTGTTATGAAGTCTACTTTATCAATATTTTAATTTTGTCAGTTGTGCTTTTGGTGTCTTACTTAATAAATCTTTTCCTAATCTAAGGCCATACAGACTTACTGTCATTTCTTATTCTAATGTTTTTATAGTTTTAACTCTTATGTCTAGGATCAATTTTGAGTTAATTTTTGTATATGGTAAGGTAAGGTGTCCCATTTATTGAGAAGACTATTCTTTCCTATTATATTGCCTTGACACTTCTGTTGAAAATGAATTGCCCTAAATGTTAGAGTTTATTTCCATATTCTTAATGCTGTTTCATTAACTTATTCACATATACCAGTATTACATTCTTGATTCTTGTAAATTTGTACTATGTTTTGAAATTAAATGTTGGTAAGCCATCAAACTTTGTTCTCTTTAAATCTGATTGTTAAGCAAACTGTTTATATTCGAATGGTTTTGGTTTTTATTTTTATTTTTTCATTCGAGCATTTTATTTGACTCATGATAAGAGAGGAGGTAATTAAAATAAAATATTGAAATATATATTTATTTTGAATTTTCATGTATTTTTCTCCAAATGAAATACACGCATTTTATGCATAATGATATATATTTTTTTTCTTTTTCAACTTTTATTTTAGATTGTGGAGGTACATGTGCAGGTTTATTACCTGGGTATACTGCATGTTGCTGAGGTTTGGGGTATGAAAGATCCGTTGCTCAGGTAGTGAGCATATTATTCAACAATTAGTTGTTCAGACCTTGTGCCACTCCTTCCCTCCTGCCTCAGTGTCTACTGCTGCCATCTTTGTGTCCATGAATACCCGATGTTTAGCTCCCACTTATAAAAGAACATGTGGTATTTGGTTTTCTGTTCCTGTATTATTTCACTTAGGATAATAGCTTCCAGCTTTATCCATGTTGCTACAACAGACGTGATTTATTTCTTTTTTACTGCCATATAACATGTCATGGTGTATATGTACCACATTTTCTTTAATCCTCCATTGATGGGTACTTAGGTTGATTCCATGACTCTGCTACTGTGAGTGGTGCTGCAATGAACATGTGAACACATGTGCCTTTTCTGTAAAATGATTTGTTTTATTTTGGATATATACCCGGTAATGGGGATGCTGAGCCAAATGGTAGTTCTATTTAAAACTTTTTGGGAAACCTATAAACTGCTTTCCACAGTGGCTGAACTAAATTACATTCCCACCAACAGTGTATAAGCATTCCCTTTTCTCTGCAGCCTTTATTAACAGACATTCTGAATGGTGTGAGATGGTATCTCATGTCGTTTTAATTCACATTTCTTTGATGATTAGTGATGATGAGCATTTTTAAATATGTTTGTTTGCTGATTCTCCATCCTCTTTTGAGAAGTGTCTGTTCATGTCTTTTGACCATTTTTTAATAGGGCTATTTGTTTTTTGCTTGTTCTATTGTTCCAGTTCTTTAAAGACTCTGGATATCAGTCTTCTGTTGGATGCATAGTTTGTGAATATTTTATCCCATTCTGTAGGTTGTATGTATACTCTTTTGATGTTTTCTTTTGCTGTGCAGAAGCTGTTTAGTTTAATTAGGTCTCACTGTCAATTTTTGTTTTCATTGTAATTATTTTTGAGGACTTGGTCATAAATTCTTTCACAAAGCTGATGTCCAAAATGGTGTTTTCTAGGTTTTCTTCTAGGATACTTAAGAGTTCGATGTCATGCATTTAATTCTTGGATACATCTTGAGTTAATTTTTGTATATAGTGAAAGGTAGGGGTCCAGTTTCTTTCTTCTGCATATGGCTAGCCAGCTATTCCAGCACCATTTATTGAATAAGGAGTCCTTTCTTAAAGATAGTACCAAGAATTCTAACGTACTCATCACACATATTTCCCTAATACTAATATCTTTTGATATTATGAAATTACTGTTAATATATTGCTACCAAGAAAAGCTTGCACTTTATTCAGATTTCATTAGTTTTTACCTAATGGCTTTTTTTTCTTCTTATAGGATCCCATCAGAATACACATTGCATTTAGTAGTCATGTCTCTTCAGGGTTCTTGCTTTTGATTTTTTGATGACTTTGAAAGTTTTAAGTAGTACTGGCCAGGTTGTTTTGTAGAATGTCATTCAGCTGAGATTTTTCTGGAGTGTTTGTTTGTGTGTGTGTATTTGTATGTGTGTATTTGTGTGTGTGTGTGTGTGTGTGTGTGTGTGTGACCATACTGGGTTTATGTGGTTTTCCCGAGGAAGACCACAGAGTGAAATTGCCATTCTTATCACATCATACTAAGAGAAAACTACCAGCATGACTTATTACCATAGATAATAACATTGATTACCTGTCTGAGATAGAGGTTTACAGAATTCTTCATTGTAAATGTATTTTTTTTTTCTGTCCAGGCTATGTTTTCAAGAAGTATGTCGCTATGCACAATGCCAATTATGCAGTTGAAAATTGTGCTTTACTGCGTGAGGGCAGGCTATCTACATAAATTATTTAGAATTCTGTTAACATAGATTTATCTATTTTTCTCAATTTATTATTTGATCATTTATTAAATCACTGTGGATGCACATAGATTTATTTTATACTTTGGGATATAATCCAATACTATCTTATATATTTTACTGGTCAAATGGTTCCAGTTTTGGGTATTGGGAGCTCTTTCTGTGGACTTCAGTGTCACTTTTAAATACCCTAATATAGTAGGGTTTTTTTTGTTTGTTTGTTAGTTTTGTTTTGTTCTTTGCAGCTCCTCAGCTTCTAGCACTAACGTACTTTTCAGGCTGATCTTGCATATTTCCTGCCAGTCTAAGAATCAGATATTTCCCCTAGAAGTTCTGCTTGCCTTTAATAGAGAATGGTACCAGAAGTCAAAATCTGGGTTCTAGGTGTGCAAAGTAGTGGCGCTTCCTAGGCCTTCTCAGCTAGGAAGGAAACGTGTGTATACATGCCTCTTCATATACACATAGAGGCATACCTTGGTGATACCATGGGTTTAGTTCTAGATACTGCAATAAAAGACCACATATTCGGTACATTGTACTCTGATCCAATGATGGGTGTACCAAAATCTCAGAAATCATCACCAAATAACTTACTCATGTAACCAAAAGCCAGCTGTACCCCCAAAACTATTGAAGCCAAAATAAAAAATAAAAAGATAAAAAAGAGAATATCGCACTAAAGTGAGTCTTGTAAATTTTGGTTTATGAAAATATCTATATGGAAGTGCATATACAACTTATATTTAAAATATACTATAGTCTCTTATGCATGCAATAGGATTATTTCTTAAAAATGTGCATACCTTAATTAAAATACTTAATTGCTAAAGAAAGTAACAATTATCTTAGCTCTCAGTAAGTCATAATATTTTTGCTGGGATAGAGTTTTGCCTCAATGTTGATGACTGCTGACTGATTGGAGTAGTGGTTACTGAAGGCTGGGGTGGCTGGGGCAATTTCTTAAACTAAAACAACAATGAAATTTGCCACATCTATTGGCTCTTCCTTTCATTAAAAAAATTTCTGTAATGTGATGCTGTTTAATAGCCTTTTGAACTTCTTTCAATATTGTAGTCAATTTTCTCAAACTGTGCTATTGCTTTATCAACTACGTTTATGTAATATTCTGAATTCTTTGTTGTCATTTCAAGAATGTTCACAGCATCTTCATCAGGAAGAGTTTCCTTTCAATAAGCCACTTTCTTTACTCTTCCACACAAATCAGCTCCTCATGTATTCATGTGTTTTCATGACATGGCAGCAACTCAGTTGCGTCTTCAGGTTCTACTTTTTTTTTTTTTTTTTTTTTTTTTTTTTGAGATGAAGCCTCACTCTGTCACCAGGCTGGAGTGCAATGGCATGATCTTGGCTCACTGTAACCACCGCCTCCCAGGTTCAAGCAATTCTCCTGCCTCAGACTCCAAAGAAG